TCTACCCAACCATAGAAAATTCTGCATGGTTAACCCTATGTGTTTTAGCGTTTAGTGCTATATGAATTGCTTTTTTGTACACCCTTCCTTCTTTGTCCTCAGTCTACTTCATGAATTCAAGTGTTAAGAAATACATTGGTCTGCATATCATGATTTCCTGTTAACCCCTTGGGTGCCGGATGGGATGAGCTATGCACTGTTGCACTCAAACGGTAGTAAAAAAAAAAAAAAAAAACAACAACAGACCTCTTAGAAATATTCTCTGAGTATTTTGCTGAGTAGCGTCTCACAAAAATGTAATCCCTTAAGTACCAATGGCTGTCTAGGCTATCATTAACAGCTTGATTTTTTTAGAAAAATTTTCTAAAACTGAATCTCGCACTCACTCAACAACAGCAGGGCTCCAAAGATATGCCAATGACATACAAGCAGGGCATTCAATGCCACCATGGGGTCTTTAAAGACCAGACTGGGCTGACTGCTAACAATATCACTGGCCCACAAAGGGTTAACAGATGGGATTAAGGTGAATAGGGGACTGGGAGCACTGTGAGAATTCTAAAGAACGATTTACCAGACCTCACAGTGTGACTCCAAAGAAAATCATTTCGACCAGGTCTGAAGCAGCTAGGTACCCTATACATCTATGGAAAAATAAAATGTAAACATCACTTGCTACAATTTAAATCCCATCTGTATGTAATCAGCTGGTACCCACAGCAGCAGCAGCCCTGCATACACCCAGCACATCAGCAACATTTCTCAAAGGAAATAGACATGTCCTTGGTAATTGTTTTTCCTGACATCCATGTCCTTGAATGCTATAGAACTGATGTAGTAAAAAATCATTTCCTTTTTTTTTTTTTCTACATTCAGTAATTCAGGGACACAACAGAGGATGCAATGCAACAGCAACACTATATTGGCCAAGCCTCTTACAACAAAGCCAGGACATTCATCTCTTAACCTACAGAACAAATGCTAACATGGGTTTAAAGAAAAGATATATATTCTGATTGCTTTGCCCTGCTTGTCTTTGTGCAGAATGCAAAGGAATTCACAGATGCATACATGTTAAATAATAGAGCATGCATATAAAGATACAGGACAGGCACACTCACCTTTTGGGAGCTGAAGGATTGGGTCCAATGATATAAAACAAGTCTGTCCTTGGATTTAGGACTGAGCTTAGATGGTTCAGGGTTGTCCTCACCCTCACTAGGTTTTCCTCCATCATTCTCAAGGGCTGAAATGGGCCACCAGCTGCAGTTAGTGGGAGTAACGTTATTGGGAGTCGCCATGACAGCCTAAGATGAAGAAGGGATGGGGAGGTAAGGACCAGCTGTGTAGTTTAGCATCACATGGTCTATAGACATTACCATTGGCACAGACCCTGAATATCACTGCTCATCACATAGCCTGCTCGATGATACTGCTTAGTGTAAGGACAGGGGGAATGATAGAAGAGATATTGTGTTTCTTTTTAATATCTCTTCAATGACATTTGCAGCAGATCTTTATAAAGATCCTAATAAAAGCTGCAGAAAAACTGACCTGCCCTGGTAGCTTTTCACAAATAAACTAGTAAATTAATTAATCAAATAAACTTAATAGTTTGGGCACTTGTCATGATTCACAAGCCTTGAACTGCAAGCATCAAAAGGTTTAACACACAAAATGAAAATATGATGCTTGCGTGGTTGTGTGTGTATAATTTATATATTCTTATGTTCTATACGCTTGTTTGTATTCTTCTATACAGTGTATTGTAAACAAATACATTTTTAAATTCCTTCTGCAAATATTTTTTTTTTAATCCATACCTGTTCCTAATTGACATGGTCTGTAAAATGCTAAATGTATTCTTAAAAACAAAACAAAAAAACAAATATGAAAATAAACAGTAATGATAAATGTTATCTTAAAACAAAAAACAAATATGAAAATAAACTGTAAATAAAAATGTTTCTGAATGATCCTTCAATGGGGCTAGATACAGACAATTATTTTTATAGACCGATTTCACTAATTTACTGCCCAAGAGGTCGATAATATCACGTAATACCTTCAATCTGATCTTTTTATGTAATACATTTTAATCTAATTCTCCAAGTTGTTTATGTTTTTAGTTTGGTTATTGTCGTCTAAAATTGACACTTCAAGTCTGACATTAGCATATTTTATTAAATAGCCTCTTCTCGATGGTGTGGGGACGGAGGGTGGAGGGGAGGTGGTGGTTCCCACCTGTCACATGCATAGGGAGGGTTAAAACCTTCCTTTTTGACACCCATAGGGTTTTAAATGTATTCATTTGGTTAGAAATTGGTGTTAGGCTCAGATCGCCAGTTGAGACTGTCCGCCTATTACTGGCTTCCCATTTAGAAAAAAGCATTAGAAAGGTATGTACCTTTCTCAGTGGGACGTCAGTTATAGTCTCAGAGCATCCGTTGAAACTCTCAGCCTATCACCAACGCCCAGTCCCAGGCGTCCAAATTAAAGATAGAGCCAAGAAGAAGGCGCAGTAAACTGTAAGATTAGTGCCATTTGGAACACTTTGGAGTTAAATCGTTCATGCAGGATGAAACCAGCAGGGCCACTGCACCCAGACCCCTTCACTGAGATGACATGTTCTGGTTACCACTGCCTATAGTGGTCTTTTAAGATAAAATGGCGCGCCGGGCTTCCAGGCACCGTAATGTCATTGAGATGAAGTAATTATGGTGCCTGGTTTGTTCCTTTAATGACACTCATTGTTTTCTAAACTTGATAATTTGACTGAGCTATTTTAAATGGATACATGTACAAGTCTCTTAAAGGGACGTTACAGGCACCCAGACCACTTCAGCTCATTGAAGCGGTCTGGGTGCACTGTCCCTTTTGTACTTATTGATCTAATGTAAAATATTGCAGTTCCAGAGAAACTGCAATGTTTACATTGTAGCACTAAGTCTGCCACCAGTGGTTGTCTCCCAGACAGCCACTAGGGGCACTTCCTGGAGCGAAACGGACCTTTGTTCCAGTAACTGACGCTGGACGTCCTCACACTCTGCATGAGGACATCCAGCGTAAGATTTTTCCCTATAGGAAAGCATTGATTCAGTACTTTAATATGGGGTGGTCTAATGTGCGCATGGCACTCATTCGGATGGGGTGGAGTATCGACCTAGTGCCGAGGGACATTGGTGCTGGGATAAGGTAAGTAAATGAAGAGTTTTTAACATGGAGGGGGGGCGCGCGCGAGTGATGGGGGAGCAATATTGCCAGGAATACTGCTTTGTATTCCTGGCACTATAGCATCCCTTTAATAAGACTGAATATAAAAGATGCTGAATCAAAAAGCTCAGAATCCTTTGGAAGAATTGTTGTTTTGTCCCATTAAACACAAAATATCTCCCACGCACATATATACATATTTCAGAACACACACTATGGGATATTCCCCATGAGCCTAGAGGCCACTCTGCTCCTGTATAAATCTGCAGAATACTGAATTATAGATTGGCAAAAGAAATATTACATTTGTAACTTGTTGCAATCATCCTCATCCCTTTTGTTCCCACTATATCTATGACGAACCTGAAACTGATCTGTCTTTACTCTCTGTCAACCTTTGCAATATATCTGTGTCATCTGCAACCCTCAAAAAAACCTTTCAAAAGTAGATATAATTTGTCTAATTATTTTCACATATCGCCACCTAGTGGAAGAAAGGAAAATCTAATGTTACTTTGCAATATTAGGAGATTATCTACTTTCAGCATTGTTAATAAGTAACAAATATTTCTTGTTAACAAACACATTTTATAACATATTCAACATTTATTTATTTATAAATATTTTACCAGAACGGATACATTGAGATTTCTCTCGTTTTCAAGAAAAGGTATGGCCGTGTATCAGGGGCCCACAATAGTATTTCTATAGCGCCCAGTCTAATAATGTATTGAAGAGAGAAGCTGAGAAATTCAGATCAACTATGATAAAAATGTATAGCAAAATATGCAGGCATCAAACTTAAAAGGAGAATATGGAAGCTAAACTAAAGTCAGGGGTGGCTGATAACAAGAGAAGGTGAATATAATACAGAGAGCTGTAAACCAACATATCGGGGCACAAATGTTTCATCAAAGGCTTCAGTATAGCTGGAGCGCTGGAGTCAGACTGGCTTTTAGAGGTCGTTCTACACAGGACAAAACAGCACAATAAAGGCCTGAATGTGGGTAGAATAGATTGAACGGAAACTGGTGCCAGACTAAAATATGGGATGACAGGTAATCAATTAGCTGCCATACACATACCTCCCAACGGTCTTGGATCCAGCGAGACAGTCCTCAGTTGGGATCTACAGGCCTGGCCATTGGTAAATCTCTGATTGAGGAAATAAGTTTCAACAACTAGTCTAGTAAATGGCATGTGTTTGAAGCCTGCTTATGGGATTGTGTGTGTGTAGAGTGAGCTGATTGTGGTGTGGTTTTGTGTTAATAGGTTGGTTTCAGTCATGTTGTATTTGTGGTGTAGTGTAATGTATGTGTGTCTAGGTGCTGTAGACAGTCTGTGTATAGGGGATGTAGCGAGTGTGTGCATATGGGCTGTAGTGTGTGTGTGTGTGTGTGTGTGTGTGTGTGTAGGTGATGTAGTGGTTGTAGAGAGTGTGTGTTTAGGGAATGTAGTATGTGTTTGCTTACAAGGAATCTAGTGTGTGCATAGGGGATCCTGAGTGTGTATGTCAGAAATGTAGTGTGTGTATAGGTGGTGCAGTGTGTGTGTGTGTGTGTGTGTGTTTAAAGGACCCAGAGTGTGTATAGGAGATCTAGTGACTGTGTGTGTAGAGGATTCAGAGTGTATATAGGGATCTAATTTGTGTATATGTGTAGATGATCCAGAGTTGGGTAAAGGGTCTAGTGTGTCTGGAATGTAATGTGTTTAGGGGTGCAGTATGTGTGTGAGGGGTTCTGTAGTATATATACATATATGCTTGAGTATTTGTAAGTATTGTGTGTAGTGTTGCAGTGTGTTTGGGGGCTGCTGTGTGTATTTGTGAGGTGTGAGGGGTGTAGTGTGTATTTGTGAGGGGTATAGTGTGTGTGTGGGAGTTGAGGGTGCTGTCTGTGTGAGTGTGTGTCTGAGGTGTGCAGTGTGTGTTTGTGTAGGAGGTGTGCAGTGAGTGAGGGTGTTGTGTGCAGTGTGTGTGTGACGGTGCTGTGTGATGTGTGAGGTGTGCAGTGTTTGTGGGTGATGTTGCTGTGTGTGAGGTGTGCTGTGTGTGAGGGTGCTGCGTGTGAGTGAGGGTGCTGAGTGAGGTGTGCAGTGTGGGTTCTGTGTGTGAGGTGTGCGGTGTGTGTGTGTGTGCAGTGTGTGTGTGTGAGTGTTGTGTGTGTGGTGTGCAGTGTGTGTGAGGTGTGCAGTGTGTGTGTGAGGGTGCTGTGTGTGTGTGTGCTGTGTGTGAGGTGTGTGGTGTGTGTGTGTGAGGGTGCCGTGTGTGTGTGTGAGGGTGCCGTGTGTGTGTGAGGGTGCTGTGTGTGAGGATTGCAGTATGTGTGAGGTTTGCAGTATGTGTGAGATGTGTGTGTGTGACGGTGCTGTGTGTAAGGGGTGCTGTGTGTGAGGTGTGCTGTGTGAGTAAGTGAGGATGCAGTGTGTGAGGTGTGCACTGTGTGATGGTTTTGGTGTGAAGGTGCTGTGTGTGTGTGAGGTGTGTGTGTGTGAGGGTGATGTGTGTGTTTGGAGGGATTGTGTGTTGGGGGGAGGCAGGTTAATGCCAATATATGTATTTTTTTATATAATAATAACAAAACAGGCATTGTATTCCACCCCCCTCCTCTTAACTGTTGTCTGGGAGGGAGGACCATGCAGCTATCCCTGGTGGTCCTTGTGGTGAGTGAACTCTAGCATGTGGGGCTAGAGTTCACTCTCGTGAGACCTGGACCCAACGCTCCGCTGGGACAACTCCTCTCTCCCTCATTCCCCAGGCAGGCACATGTAACTGACTGTGGGCCGGTGAAGGAGATCTTTGATCTCACCACTTGCCTGTCATGGAACACAGAGGGGCCAGTGCTCGGATAGCGCAGGCTCTGTATGGACTGGCCGAGGAGATCCTGTGTCCTCTCCTGCCGGCCTTGGCCCATGACCATCGCGGCCCACCGGGCATTTGTTAAAAACTATAGTTTAAATTTTAAAATCCAGGGCCCATATTTAAAGACTGAAAACATTTGGTCCGGATGACATCTGGATCAAACTCCAACTTATTCAGAGCCTGTTCTGCAACATCCGTACATTGTTATATATTGTGGGTTTTTCCTGTACGGGGAAAATTTGACATTGTTGAATTATCCAGTTAATCTCTGTAAACCTCTCATTATCTTTTTAACACACAGCGCATATATTTATATTTTCCTTAAAATAATATAAAATTATGAAAGCAAATGCACAAAATGATGTATTTTGGGTAAAGGGTCACTCTAAGCACTATAAACATATCATATTACAGAAGTGATTATGGTGCGTAGATAGGGTTACCAGATGTTTTCAGGGACACATATCACGTATATTGATAGGCAGCATCCTTACGCCCTTACTTTGGGCCGTTTGGCTTACGGTGTTGGGATTGCCTGCTGCTGAGTTAGCAGGAAGCCTCGCTGTCACCCGGTTTTGTTAGGTTAATCTGTCACTACAGCTGAGTAGGAGAATTTTTCCAGCTCAGTTGTTTTAGCCCTCAATTTTTACCTGATGTTTACCAGCCGGAAGTGAGAACTGGGTACTCCTGTTTGGATCTTTTATTAGTGTAATTCTCCATTTAGATATAATACAACTAGCCATCAAAATATTTTACATATGTCTGCAAAGATGGTACGACGAGTCTTTTAATATGATTACTTATACGAAAATAAACTCGAAAAGCAGCTTGTTAAAAATTAAATAGTGGCATAATGACTTTTGGATTGCAAACGTATGTTACACAATCTGCAGGCACGGCACTGTACTCAGCAGAATTGGAGTCGGTGGATTTCCATTAAGTAAACACAGTACTCGCAGTCACGCAGCAGGTAACAGTCATCGGCCAATCTTAGAATTGTGACACGCTAGAATGAGCTCCTGGCAGCAAGCCTTGTTATATTACAAGTCAAACGTGTCTTGGTTAATTTAAGCTACGCTATTTATCAAATGCTCACAGGTGCTTCAACTCACAAAATTCACCTTTCTATGCCCCATGTATGATTTAATCCCTTGCTACTATGTGAGTTGCAAAAAAAAAAATACTACCAGATAATTCAATGGTGCAATACGTGACTGAAGAGATGAGGATTGTGTGACGTTAAAAACATGTATATTTCAGCAAGAGACCTTGAAATATGAATAGTAGCAATTAAAGCCAAACTATGAGAGTATCCACATATGAAACCAGTCATCAAGAACAGCCTTGGGTAATCCTTAAACAACACTTCAGAGTAATAAATAAATAAATAGGTAGGTGAGTCTGATGCCTCCCCCCACGCCCCCACCTTGCCTGTTAAAAAATAAAAGGGTTGGTACACGCGGAATTAGTTACATTTGATGACCTGAAACAGACCTTGCACTTAACCCCAGCTGACTTTTTCCGCTATATACAACTTAAAGACTTTGCATCCCAGGCCCACATCAAAGAGACCGTACAAAAACCCTTTACCTTTTTCGAGGGGATATGTCTGAGCGAATCTATGCCGAAAGGCTTAATCTCCTCTCTATACATCCAACTGAGCACTGAGACGAAGGAATGGGGCGCTAACTTATACGGGACTGTGGGAGAGGGACCTTGGGAAGGTTCTCGAGGGTATAGAGTGGCAGGAGATCTGGGAAGCCAACAATGCCACTTTCATTTTTGTTTCACTGCAAGAACAGTCCCTTAAAACGATGTTCCGCTGGTACACGACTCCCATTAAGCTCCACAAAATGCAAAAGACGCCTTCGGACACATGCTGGAGGGGGTGCGGGAACAGGGGCACCTACCTTCACATGTGGTGGGAATGCCCCCATATCCGAATGTTCTGGAGCTCAATTAAGGACCTCGTAACACAGGTGTTCCAGAGAGCACCAGATCTAGACCCACGGGTTTATCTCCTAAACAGATCAGTAGAGGAGTGGACCAGACATGAACAAATGTTAGTGCATAAGATCACATTAGCGGCAAGGAGATCGTAGCACAGGCCTGGTTGAAAACAGGGGTCCCGCCTGTGGCATCAATCATAGTAAAAATTAAGGATTAATTAACCTACCTAATGGAATACTTAACGGCGAGAGTTAGGGGTTCGACAAAGAAGTTCGAAAAGATATGGGAGCCCTGGATGGCCAACGTCCTGGCTGCCTAGCGGCAGTCTTTGCCTCGCGTCCACTTCCCCCTCCCCCTTTTCCTGTGCCGCCTCCCTGAACCGATCAGGGTAATTTTTGGATATGTTGTTCACCCAGATCTGGGCTCTCATGGGATGTGTCTTTAAGGTACTTTTTGGGGTTTCATAAAAATTTATGTTTTTCTGTGCTTAGAGATAATTGGGTTAGATTAGTACAGTTCCTGATTCAATTATCTCCCAAGCACAGAGGAGGTATTCTATTGTTTATGTATAGGACTGTCTCACTGTATGACTGTTTTTATTGGTTTATTCACTTTGTGTCCCTGTGCCCAACAAGGTCCACCTGGGTGTCATCCTTGTTGGGAAACTTGCATAAAAGGCCAGTGTGCCTCCTTTAAAATTCTGTTCCTGCTTACCCTCAACATAGAGTCTCATCTCATGTGTGGGGGAAATGGCTGTATCTATTCTGGGGATTGCTATATCACTATACTTCCCAGGAATTATAATCACTAGCTCTGTTCCTGCTACGCTCTCTGGGAGTAGGAGAGGTCTGCCCACTGGAAGCTGGATCCTGGTTTCCTGAAGGACGGCAACACCCCAGCACAGCTGCATCGCTGGAAGTGGGGTCTGCAGTGCTTATGGTGTCTGGTGGAGTGCTGGAATTCCTTGGTGAGCAGTAGGAGCATCGACTGACGGTGGCACCCGGTTAGGGTGCCAGGCGGTCCGTCACAGTATGCATGCGCCATAACTTACAATTCAGCATCTGCTTGCTCAGGGTTACCCACAGTGGTTCATATCTCACCTGATATCCTCCTACCTGTCCAGAACCGGGGATTTCTATACCAAGGGTTCCTTAACAAATGGATCACAGCCAACTGATCTTGGGGTAATGTAATCGTGGCCACTGGACACACTTGAAGTGACCTCGAAAAGCTAAACGTAAACAGCATACACTCAACTGCGAACACCACAATATTTAACCGACCGCTCATAATTCCATCCTAAAATTATGATCTTACAGATGCTATTGTTCACTTATGTCGGCCTCCTATGGGCCAGTCACCATACCACTACACTACTAACTCCGCTTGCTCATCAGCTGGCATGCCCAATGATACTCTACCCGCGGCTGCACTAGTAGCACTCTACCAAGCTGCCTTATCGTTAGGGACACACACAGACACTTACAGCCGCCACTGGTTTTAGCATCAAATGTGAAGCTTTGTATTGAAATGCACCACCTTTACCAGACGTTTGATGAGCATGCACTTAGATCTTGAACTGTTAACTGATTATGTAGTAACTGTATGCAAACCCGGAATGCCATAATTCTGTTTTGTTATGGCTATGAAAATTGAGGCTGCTGATGCTGCTGTGGCAATACAGGCACTGTTGTACTTACTTGCATGTCAAAAATAAAGAATTACAAAGAAAAATAAAGAATTGAAGAATGCATTAAAAAAATAAAAGGGTTACATTACTTCTAATGCAGTGGGGATGGGGTTCCTCTCTACAGCACTGCTAAACCCTTTGGGAGATTATCATTATTGACAATCACTCATCTGATCCAAAGCTTCACATAGCGCTGCATGGGGAAGCTGGGTACATGTGCAGCAACTGCCAACAATGCTTCTATTGCAGGATTATTCAAAGTAAAAATTTGTTAGAATTCACAATACATTTCACATTTGAAGCACCAGTAGAGGCACCCAGACAACTCCATCTCAATGAAGTGGTCTTGGTTCAGTGGCCCTGTAGTTTTAACCCTGATACCACTATGTTATCATTACAGGGTTAACACACATGTAGTTGCTGTCTTCCTAACAGCCACTAGAGGGTGCTTCCAATTAATAACCAAGTCAGACTCGGTTATTTAATCAAATGACTCTGATAGAGAGCATTTGATTGGCTTTGGCACAGAGAGGAGTTTTGACATGCATGCCCTCTAGCCTCCCAATGCAATAGGGAACCATTGGATTGGCTGATGATCTGAGCCAAGGAGACAAGACTGGGATTATAAAGACAAGCATGGCAAGGGCTTTATGGTGAGTAAACACACTTTTTTTTATTGCAAACTGGTGGGGGAGGGGGGGGGGGCAGAGGATGGCAGTGCTTCAGGTAAGTATATACAGTTGCAAGAAAAAGTATGTGAACCCTGTGGAATGATATGGATTTCTGCACAAATTGGTCATAATATGTGATCTGATCATCATCTAAGTCACAACAATAGACAATCACAGTCTGCTTAAACTAATAACACAAAGAATGA